CCATTCCAAAAGATGCGTTCCAGCAGTGTTTCCAGCAATGGCAGGAACGCTGGGAGAAGTGTACACATTACCAAGGAGACTACTTTGAAGGGGATTAGGGTTTTGTACCTCAAAGTCAATAAATTTATTTTTGCTGACCAAAGGTCCGATACTTTTTGAACAGACCTTGTATATGTTAAGAAGTATTTCAATGTTTATGATAAAAGCTAAACTTTTCTCATAAACATTGTCCTTTCTTACTACTTTAGAAATAATATTGAGATGATTTCTTTGATCTAGTGTCTGTCATTCTATAGAATGTCAAATAGAAATTTGCAAATAGAACAAAGTTGAATAAAACAGAATAAAAACTTCAAAAATTCAAATATCACATCACATGATATTCTCTGACTTTTTTTCTGTTTTTTATAATCTCAAATTTTTTTCAAAATGTTAGAAATTTCAAGTAGATTATAACTGTTTACTGATTTCATGCTGATCACATAATACATAACGTATGATATAGTGTCCTCAAATATCCATTTGAGGACACTAACCCCAACTATACTATCTTACTATCATTAAACATTAATACTATCTTAAACAATAATTGTTGATGATAGCTACCATCTGTAATTGTTATACACTTAGTATAAACAAGAATTGATAAAATATCTATTGGAGTAAATAGAGAGTCAACAGACAAGTGCTCAAAATGTGCCATTAAAGTGGAATTTTTTTTCGAGCAATATAAATATTATATTGGGCTTAGGATATGACTGATGAATAGCCATTGCTAAATGCTTTAAAAATGCAGGATTTGGTGACATCTCACCTCAATATATCCAAAAATACAGTAATATTACTGAAGATGTTACATACAAACATGAATACAATAACCCAAAAATATGCCAAAACAGGTTGAACTGATTACAGTTTTTAATACACTTTAACTGTTTACTGAACTTCTATAGTTCCAGCTAATTTGAAAAGATTCAAGGATTTAAAACATGCTGTAATGAAAGAATCATTTCAACAAATGAGACAGAGGACAAGTTTTTTGAATGATGAGTTTTTTGAAAAATACAGATTTATAGATTGTCATACAAACTCAATTATGATATTTACCTTGTACTGTACGTTCTTTTCTGTAGTACTTCACACTGTAGAAAATCATGTAATATTATACAGTAAAACCTCTAATCTTGAATCCCTCAAGTTAAACTGGATTGTTTATTCTGGCAAATACTCTATATAATATAATGTATTTTTCTATTCCTTAAATCAAATAAAACTTCATGCTCTCTTTAAGTTGAACTCAGCAGATGCTAACCTATGTTCCATGAATTATTTTGATGGACTGTTTGGTAAAGTAGCTTTAATACAGTAAGCTAGTGACATCAGTTGCCAATTTAGCAGAAAATTTGCTAAATCTAGCTTTTCCTGTAGCATCATCAAATAGCTTAAAAATTATATTCTCTGTTAGCAGAAATGTTAGTTTTTATTGTCACAGTGGATAGAGTGGACACCACAGTAGCTAAGGTTTATTTTAGTGCTTTGTTTTTTAATTTATATTGAAGAATACTGATTTTTTTATAATTCATATTTCTACTTGGAATAGTGTTCTTCATTTGCGGCGGCCATCTTAAACTTTGTCTTCAGTGCTTTATGAATTTACAGTCTTTTTGCTAATCACCTAAATTTTCCTGTAGATATTTTATGTAATTTTGAATAAATTCAGTGTAGCATAGAGAAGTACTTTTGATATACCTAAATTATAATATTTATTTAAATCATTACATCCTTATATATCGTTCTAATAATAATTCAAATAAATATCATGGACTTAAATATATTGCAGAATTGCATCACTTATTCTACTGCTTTGTACTTCACATCTGAATAAAATTTTTTCTATGTTTTATATACTGTACCTCCATATATAGAGTTCTCCTTAACTGAAACTGGCCAGTAACTCAAACTCCCTTCAAATTTGAGATTTAGAGATTTTACTGTGTTTTATGTTAATAAAATGCATTTTATATTGGGTTGAACCAAAAGTTCATTCTGGTATTTACATAATCGCTTGCCTGTGGCGCCTCTGTCGTGCTTATCAACTTTTAACTTGTTTAGGTTGACATTATGAATATCTGCATATTTATTACATAAGTTTAATTACAGCTTTTTTTTAAATTTTATTAACTTTTAAGAAAAAAAAAACATTAAAATGGAAGATAAGAAGGTGCATTTTCGACATCTGATGCTCTATTATTTCCGAAAAGGAAAAAATGTAACAAAAACTCAAAAAAAGTTATGTGCTGTATATGGGGAGGATGCAGTTACTGATCGAACATGCCAGAAATGGTTTTCAAAATTCAGGGAGGGAGATTTTTCTCTCGAAGATGCACCTTGGTCAGAACGACCTTCAACCATAGAAGATGAGTCCATGACAACTTAAATCAAAATGATTGGCATAAAACAACATGAGAGATAGCTGACATCTTAAAAATATCCCAAACATCTGTTGTCAGACATTTGGCTAGCCTTGGATAAACTTCCCGTTATGATGTTTGGGTTCCCTATAAGTTAAGTGAACAAACTTATTGAGCGTTTTTCTGTATGTGATTCACTTTTAAAATGCAATGATGATGATCCCTTTTTAAAGTAATTAATAACAGGCGATGAAAAATGGATCGTCTACAACAATATTCAACGCAAGAGATCTTGGAGTAAGCCAGGTGATCCTCCAGTGCCACAACCTAAAACTGGTTTGCATCCCAGAAAAGTAATGATTTCAGTTTGGTTGGACTGGAAAGGGGCTCTTTATTATGAGCTTTTACCCAACAACCAAACAATTAATTCCAATAAATATTGTCTCCAACTGAATGAACTAAAGGCACTAAAGGCTGCAGTGCATCAAAAATGTCCAGAACTTGCAAATCAACAGGGAGTGGTATTCCATCATGATAATGCAAGACTGCACATATCGTTAAATGTGCACCAAAAACTTCTAGACTTTAACTGGGATGTTTTGAGTCACCCTGCATATTCTCCAGATATTGCTCCCTCAGACTATCATCTTTTTCGTTCATTGCAGAATAATTTAAATGGCATAGAATTTCAATTTCTAGAAGGTATCAAAAATCACATTGATAATTTCTTCAATCAGAAACCCACCCAATTCTACACAGATGGAATTATGAAACTACCCGTCAGGTGGTGTAAGGTTATCGAACAGAAGAGTGAATACATTGTGGATTAAAGGTTTTTATTTATTTCAAAATAGTATATTTTATTTCTTTCTAAAAACCAAACAAACTTTTGGTTCAACCCAATACATAAAGTCATAATTGATCATTTGTTATTTTCCTTACATCAAACACTCAAAATATTGGTTCTCTTCAACTTCGTTAATCAGAAAATTTCCTAAATATTGTGTTCTGTACTTCTTCCTATATATCATGTTTTATTTTGTGATAAACATAGAACTATTTTCCTTTACATATGTAGACAAAGAACATCAGCTCCACTCTTTATTCTGGGAAAAACTATAGTATATTCATTTTCATCATATGCTACTCTACTATTACTTGCTCCACATTTTCTACATAACATCAGTTAAAATGACAAACAACAATATGTTGAATCACTAAATAAAAAAATGATTCATATGTTAGTAGTAGATAGTTCAAAGAAGAGTCATTTGAGGTTGTGGTCCAATATTCACTATAAGAAAAATATGCTAAAAGTAATTTTACAAATAAAAATTTGAAATACATTATTAGATATAATGCCTTTCAAATTTTTAATGCCTTTGAAATTCATTATTAGATATAACTGACAACACTAAGATGCAATGAAAAAATTTTACTTATGAAAAAGTTGTCAGATAGTACTTATTTTCAAGATGTTACTATTCTTATGCATTGTAACAATAATAGTAATTATTCTGTAATTTTGTGACATAATTACTTTTTCCTGTTTTTGGTAGAAAAATTTTTGCCAAATCATTTATCTTATGATTAAAGATTCTTTAATTTAAAATTATAGATTATTTGAAATAAACACTTTCAAATAATTTCAATTAGTAAAAATAAATTAGGGGAAAAAAATATTTAAAATATTTCATTACATAAAACCCATTTTATAAAAGAAAAATATCAAATCTATTTTAAAATAATTATTATTTTGAATGGAAATACAGTATACTCTTGATTATCCATGCTTGCTTACTTCTCAATAAAAATTTACATCAGAAATACAAATATTAGCATTAAAATAAAAAATTCTGTATTGCTAATTCTTGCTATTTAAAATGGTATATTGAGGCATCAGAACTACTTCCAGAATGTCAAGGCATAAATTAAATAGTCTAACAAGTGCAGTAAGTACAGTTGGTTCTTGAACAGTGCAGCTTTACTTATGTGTATACTACATTTTTTTTTTTTCATTAAATAAGTTGTAAAATTGTTTGAAGAAATATTTTGAATCCTTTTCTTGTCAATAAATCATTAATATCAGAAAATTAATGACATTTCATGATATCTAGCTGGCAACCTTCATTCTTGGTTAATAATACAAGAAATTCATAATGAATTGTGAGACACTAGAGTTCAATAAATTTTTCTGAATTTTCTGTTTTCATCAAAAGTCTAATTTAACTCTGATCACATCTAAAGCTTATTAATTAATTAGCTATTGCTCTTAAAATGTATTTTATTCATAATAAATAAACTATTATGTTAAATTTAATATGAAATTAAAAACTAAATAAAAGAAAAATCTATTAACTTTCATTAAAACAGACTTCTGGATTATCTGTGCCTCCATTACCAACAATTAGCCTGGATAATTGGGAGTATACTGTTTTATAAAGAATTGTCTATTACCTGTTAATTGTCCTTTCTCTTTTTCTAATTCTAAAATGACACATTTATTTTTTTCAATTTCACTTTCTTGTTCTTTATTCAATTTTTTAAATGCAGCAATTTCATCTTCCAGCCTATTAATTTTAAATTCAAATTCTTCATTAATTTTATTTCCTTCTTGAAGTCTTCCATTTTCTTCATTCAACATATTTATTTTATGTTCCAATTCTTGTATTTTTTGGATATAATCATCTTGTGGAAAATGCTCTTCATTACTAGTATATTTTTCTTCAAAAATCTGTACACCAACTTCTTTTAATTCTTTTACTGCTTTCTTCTTTTCAGTGCTAATTTTTTTCTTATCTTTTTCATTCAATTTTCTGATTAAAATCTTAATAATAGATTTATACATTCTTTGTTTTTCAGGTTCTTGGCATGCAGTTTTCAATTCATCTTGTAAACTTTCAGAAAGTTTTAAATTATTAAATAATTCTGAAGAAACTATATTTTCTTTTGAAACTTTTTGTTTTGTATTCGTTAATAAAGAATTATCTTTTAAACATTCATCCAGTTTATCTTGAAGAGAATTGTATTGTTTCTTAAGAATTTTGTTTAATTTTTTCTCTTCTTCTAGTGACATCTGTAAATTATTTATTTGTTGATTGAGATTTTCATTTTCTTTTTCTGCATCAAGACAAATTTTCTGAGCATTATGTTTATCTTCTTTCTGGCTTTTATTAACTTCTTCTATTATATTTTTTAAATCTTTTATTTGTTTTTTAAGATCATCTATTATAATTTCTTGATTTTGATTATCGGTTGAAGAACGAGCTTCAAAAGTTTTCTTTTGTTGCCAAGACTGTTCTTCTAGTTTTTGAAAGGTTTCTTCTAAATGATGTTTCTCCTTCATTAACTGCTCAACTTGAGAAGATTTTGATACTAATTCTGTTCTCATTTGCTTAAAATTAGTTTCAACTCTGTTCAAATTATCTTTAACTACTTTTAAGGCATCATCAACATTCTTTTTTTCTTCATTTGCAGCAGCAAGTGAAACCTCAATTGCTGTTTTTTCACTCTTTAATGCAAATATTTGTTCTTCTCTCGAATTAAGTTCTAATTCAGAATGTTTTAATTTCTGTTCTAGAGATTTGTAATTTTGTTCCCATTGTTGTATTGCTAGATCTTTCTCTTTAATATTCTTTTGTAATAAAGTAACTTGCTTCATTAATTCTGAATGATTTTTTTCTAAACTACTTGTAAAATGTTTTCTTTCTTCTAAATCTTGTTTCAGAGTTTCCACTTGATGTTCTAAATCTGAAACTTTGTACATAGTATTTGTCAATTTGATGCGTTCCTCTTCTACCTTCTTAGCCCTTTCAGTTAATATTTCTTCAGCATTTCCTTGATCTTTCTCAATTTGTTGAAAAAGGCTTTCTCTTTCTAACATGTCAGCTTCAATATTTTCAAGATGATTCATCAAAACTTCTTTCTCCTTTACAGCTCTTTGCTGAGTTTCAATAATTTTTTGTTTGACTTGATTATTTTCATCTTTCAATTGTTCTATAACATTAGACAATGCAATACAATTTCCTTGAACTGAAATTAATTCACGGTGAACTTTATTCCGACTCTCCTGTACTGAATAAAGTTGTTCTTGATACCATTCTTTTGATTTTTGTAATGTTTCCATTTCTGATCTAATACCTTTGATATCATTTTCTAGTTGAACTTTATTTTGTAATAACATTTGTACTTCAACATGAAATTCAGCTATTTTGTTTTTTAAGCCTGTTACAGCTCCTTCTTTGGATTCTAAATCAATATTCATTTTTTCAATAGTAATTTTTAATTTTTCATTTGTTGTTTCTGTTTCTGATAGATCTTCTTTTAAGGCTTTAATTTCCAAATTTTTAGCCTCTATTCTATTTTGATATTCCGATATAACCCTATCCCATTGTTTGCATTCCAGTTGTAATCTTTCCAGTTGTTGTGATGCAATTTCTTTTTCTTTAACAGCTAAATTAGTTTCTTGTGTTTGCATTTGTAACTGTGCTTCAAACAATGCAAGACTCTTTTGGAGATTTGTTTTTTCTTTTAAAATAGTGTCCATTTCATTTTTGATAGTAACTAATTGCCCTTCTAAATGTGCTTTCTCTCTTAGAATTTTAAACAATTCAGAATCATTTTCTGTTTCTGTGGCTTGATTTCTTATGTCACTCATTGTTTGTGTTTCTTCTGTAAGGAATTCTTTTTCAGATTTATCATCCAAAATATTTAATAAATTAGTCTGAGAACTTGCTTCATTAGAAATTAGTGAGGAATTGGGAACATCAATTAAAAGTTTTTTAATTCTAAACATTTCTTCATCTAGTCCACTTATTTCTGATATGTTAGACTCAGTATCAAATACTTCTGAAAATGTAGATTCAGTATCACACTTATCAGATATAAATGATAAAGTATCTGGTTCTGAAGCAGAATAATTATTAGTATTCATTACTTTTCGCTGTAGTTTTGTTTGTGGATTATTTCTTTCTTTTTCTAATCGATTTATGACATCTTCTGATATATTTTTCTTACTATGAGTTGCAACCATTTCTGTACATTTTCCTTTTTTTGAACTTGTGCTACTTCGACTACTTTGGCTATTTTTTCGATTCCGTGATTTTTCCTGAGATTTTGCAGGTGAATGATCAGATGATGATGTTGAATTAACTCCATTGGTAACAGTTTTACTAGAAAACCAAGATTTCTTCTCCACAACAGCATTGATTGATTCAGGAGGATATTTAACTAATTCATTATACAGTACAGGCAGATTATTAATGGGTAATAAATTGTCTTTTTCTTGAATTTTAGTATTTAATGGAAATATTTTATCTTTAAAATTATGTGGACTTGAAGTCTTTGGAATGGAAGAACGACGTGTTTTTTCTACAATTTCTGCCACTATTTCAGGAGATACTGGTTTTACTGGTAATTTTCCTTAAAAAAAAAAAAAACACTTTATTAGTTATAATTATAATGAAAATTTTAAATTAAATTCTATTATTATATTTCTAATAATTACCTATTACACTCTGTTGTAATGCCAAAGCTTCTGATGTTTTAGACATAGATTTTAATGGAGATGGAGGATAATTGAAAGTGTTCAATGTTTCAACTTTAAAATTTTTATCTTGTTTATCTAATAAATTAGCAGCACTTTCAAAGATATGTGGATTATGTTGTGTCATATATTGGGCTACCTATAATACACAATAGTTTAATTATTATTTAAAACAAATTATATATCAGTTGTATAAAGATAGCAAAGGAATTTAACTTACTGGAAGTGATATATTAGGATAAGCTATATTAAGTGAATCATAACTATATAAAAAATCTCCTTCTGATAAGGCACTATGTTTAGAAGTAACTGTATTAACATTTGGCACTTTTTCATTAAAACTACTGGGTTGAATATCATTAATAAGAGAAGAATTATCTAGATTCTCATCTAGTTTTTCTAAAAAGTAAAAATAATTAAACATTAAAATTATATTTCATATAAGTAAATTAATCATAATTATATTTAAAATTATCAATTTTTGATAAAATAGATTAAAAGTATATTTTGAAATCTATGTTTAAAAAGTAAGGTATATAATTTTCAATACAGAACAATATTTATTCACGTATTAAATTATATTTTTAATTTGAAATGACATAGTGTTCCTATTATATTTTAATATTAAAAAATAAAACTAACATAGCTGACATTTTTAATGTATAAAAATATATATTGACATAATTCATAAATAAGATGAGCAAGGCATACACCACATATATTAATTCAAATTAAAGTAAAAATCAGTTTTTTGGTGTTGAATAAACATTATTTTTAATAGATTGAACATTTATGATATTTTAAGATATCATCTTCAGGAACAACACAATCAAATTATTTCTTATTTTATAAAATTTAGATAAAGTTTATGAAAACTATGATTTAAAATCTTGAATGATTTAATAAAAAAAATTCAATTTACACTTTCAATGCAAGTTAAAAGTAATTTCCATTTACTTTTAACTTACAAATCATACATAAATTATTTAACTTACTTTGAAGGAGGTTACATCACTAAAATATGAAAAAAAAACAAGCTACAAATAATAAGAATTAATGAGAATTTTATAGTTGTATTTTAGTTATTTTATCAATTTTACAAACATTATTTTTATTTAAAAATTGTTTGCATATGAATAAAATTTCTTTGTCTGCCACATGTTTGCCATTCCAAATATAGTGTTTATTATATTACGTTAAAAATATAAATACTATTAAAGCCAAATGATTGCCAAATTATATCAGACTATATTACTATTACTATTATTAATTAAATGCTAAGTAATTTGGCACTAGAGACAGGTGTTAGATGTCATCTCTTGTTAAATCTAATAATTATAAATAAATTAATATTTTAATAATTAATTTAGAAGGTTCTGGAAGAAAAGAATTGGCTCAAAGTGGAACTTGAATCCACAACTCCCACTTACTGTGTGGTTGCATTAGCAGTTACGCTACCAGGACATTTGTCCAATCCTCATTTCCAGAACCCATTAATTTGGATAAAACCTACTTGGTAGCATAACTGGCAATACAACTGCATAGTAAATGGGAGTTGTGGGTTCGAGTCCTGCTCTGGGTAGAATCTTTTCTTACATAACCTTCTAAAATTATCATTAAAATATTTATTTAATTATAATTATTAAATTTAGCAAGAGATGATGCCTAACACCTGCCATTAGTGCCAAATTACTTAGCTTTACAAAAATTTAAGAAAATTCTTAATACATACAAATATGTCTTTTCACTTAGTCCTTCCATAAGCACATGAGGAAAATAACAATTCTACAGTAGAGTCAACCTTTTATTTGAGGCTACTTGTCCATCTCCATAAGTAAAAAGGTTAAAAAAATTTTCTTAAAATTTTGTCCTGGCTATTTTTATCAAAATTACTTAGAATTTAATTAATAATAGTAGTAGTAATATAGCCTGATATAATCTGGCAATCATTTGGCTTTAATATATAACTATTGGGTTTATATGTTTACTATTAAAGACTCTCACTTTAATAAATTTACATAAACTGTGATAAACAATTACAAATATAACTGAGAAATTTATATTAATTCATAAACATTGAAATTGAACTTATTCTGTAATCTGTATACATGTAAACAACATTTGTAAAAAATACACTACAGTTTAATATGAATAACCTGCAGGTTATCTGAGTTTAAAAGGCAATTTGAAAGTGTGTGAGAGTTATGCAATGAGGCCAAGTTACTTACTGATTTCAAATTGCAATTATGAAGCATAGAACAGTTTTTCCTTTGTATAAAATCATGAAGAGTGTCTAGAAAAGATGAAAAATCCTTTGTATGTCACAGACATATTCACTTGACATTGCAAATTTTCCAGAAACAACAAAAGTTAACTATATGCATACCTCACCTTTAGTTCTCTCTATTTATTTTCTATATGTTCAGTCTATGCTTTAATTGTTCCTATTTGAACTTGTATCTTGAAAGCTGATAAATTTATAATAATTAACCTCTATCTATATAATGGTATCATTTCAGAGAACTTTGATGATTAAGGCATGTAACATGATAATTGTCATCCCAATAAACTATAAATTTATTGCTTATTTCATCACTATAAAGCAAATTCTGATGACTAAAAATAATTATATTTAAAGAAATAGCCTCTCTTAGATGTGCCATTTTTTGTTTTGTTTAGTTACAACAGCATTGCTATGAACTTTTGCGGATTCCCAGACGAGGTTTGAACTCGAGTAAACCTCGAATTTCTTATGCAACACTAGATGTAAACAACGAGACTTGAAACTGTTCGAGTATGTGTCAAACTATCTGTCAAGGTCTTAGCAGAAGACAAACTCAAACATGAGTGCTCATAAATAGGTAGATCATTGATTCGCGAGTCTATAAAATGTTGGCTGAGATAAACTTTTTCGAACAAAAAAAAGGGGAATTTTTGAAAGATGAAAATGATCGTTATATTCTTAGACCTCAAAAAATGGTATAAACAACGGCCTGAATTATGAGTGCAGGTGTTATTGTTTTATAAACAATCACTGAGCAGAGTCAACAAAGAGGTATCAAATGGACACCGCAAATCAGACCTTTCCCGCAACCCGAAAAGGTTTCGTCTTGCACCTAGAAACAAAGGAGAGATCAATCGGAAAACGAGGAATAGGATGAGGGACCAATCCGAAATGTGAATAGCAGGGGAAAAACTATAAAAATCGGAACTTCAAGATCAAAGAAGAGTCTCCTCTGGATTAAGCCTACAGTTGTGCTTTATCTATTGTGTTGTGCTATCGCCGATCACTTANCTAGGCACTTGGTAAAGTGAAAATAAGATCTTTGCCACAAATAAATGTACCACAAATACGTGTGCTTGTCGCAAAAACCAACTGTTATGAAATTCAAAGTGTCACCAATCTTTAGAGTGCACTAATAAGTAAGCACAATTGGATAATGTTACCTATGGTGAGTAAAATGGCGACTCGTCTCTGATTCCAGCAAAGAGAAGAAAGGAAACAGTGGGAACGCACGTTCAAACCTAACCTAACCTATTCTAATAATTTGGTTGATAATAATTATGGTAATTATTAGAATAGGTTAGGTTAGGTTAGAACGTGCATCCCCACTGTTTCTTTTGTTTGCTGGAATCAGAGACGAACTGCCATTTTACTCACCATAGGTAACATTAACTGCACAATTATATCATGCGATCATCAGAAAAAGTATGATAACGTTATTAATTTTCGTCTCCGGTCCAAAAGTTGGGTATTGCTGAAGTTGTCTCGGTCCCCTCAGTTCAGATAGATACTCAAAGTCCCGAAATTCTATAGGTGGTTATCTATATAATAATTTCCCTAATTGTATTAATATTTTAAATTGTTTGATTTTTTGTATGTTTTTTAATTGGTTGATAATTGATTCTANGAAGTCGTCTCGGTCCCCTCAGTTCAGATAGATACTCAAAGTCCCGAAATTCTATAGGTGGTTATCTATATAATAATTTCCCTAATTGTATTAATATTTTAAATTGTTTGATTTTTTGTATGTTTTTTAATTGGTTGATAATTGATTCTATCAACTAATTTGTCGATTGTTTGATTGTATAAACTTGATTCTTTAGATATCGAAAATTAAACAAAGAACATTATGTTAATTTAAGCGTACAGAAATGTTGCTGTTGTTCCAGCGAAGATCTTATTTTCACTTTACTGAGTGCCTAGTAGGTAATTTGCAGATTACCTAATTTGAGAAATAGAACAATTTTAGCAACTTTAACAGATCACCCTAGTTAATCTGCAGATTAGCTAGGTAATGTACACATTAACGACTTTCGAGTTTTAGTTGTAATATATATATATATTTCTTTTTAATTTTTTATACTGGTGTGTATATATATACACACCAGNTACTTAGCTTTACAAAAATTTAAGAAAATTCTTAATACATACAAATATGTCTTTTCACTTAGTCCTTCCATAAGCACATGAGGAAAATAACAATTCTACAGTAGAGTCAACCTTTTATTTGAGGCTACTTGTCCATCTCCATAAGTAAAAAGGTTAAAAAAATTTTCTTAAAATTTTGTCCTGGCTATTTTTATCAAAATTACTTAGAATTTAATTAATAATAATAGTAGTAATATAGCCTGATATAATCTGGCAATCATTTGGCTTTAATATATAACTATTGGGTTTATATGTTTACTATTACCAGTTACGCTACCCTGACCTTCATTCAATCCTCATCTACAGAACTTATTAATTTAGATAGAACCATACAAAATTACTTAGAATTTAATTAATAATAGTAGTAGTAATATAGCCTGATATAATCTGGCAATCATTTGGCTTTAATATATAACTATTGGGTTTATATGTTTACTATTAAAGACTCTCACTTTAATAAATTTACATAAACTGTGATAAACAATTACAAATATAACTGAGAAATTTATATTAATTCATAAACATTGAAATTGAACTTATTCTGTAATCTGTATACATGTAAACAACATTTGTAAAAAATACACTACAGTTTAATATGAATAACCTGCAGGTTATCTGAGTTTAAAAGGCAATTTGAAAGTGTGTGAGAGTTATGCAATGAGGCCAAGTTACTTACTGATTTCAAATTGCAATTATGAAGCATCGAACAGTTTTTCCTTTGTATAAAATCATGAAGAGTGTCTAGAAAAGATGAAAAATCCTTTGTATGTCACAGACATATTCACTTGACATTGCAAATTTTCCAGAAACAACAAAAGTTAACTATATGCATACCTCACCTTTAGTTCTCTCTATTTATTTTCTATATGTTCAGTCTATGCTTTAATTGTTCCTATTTGAACTTGTATCTTGAAAGCTGATAAATTTATAATAATTAACCTCTATCTATATAATGGTATCATTTCAGAGAACTTTGATGATTAAGGCATGTAACATGATAATTGTCATCCCAATAAACTATAAATTTATTGCTTATTTCATCACTATAAAGCAAATTCTGATGACTAAAAATAATTATATTTAAAGAAATAGCCTCTCTTAGATGTGCCATTTTTTGTTTTGTTTAGTTACAACAGCATTGCTATGAACTTTTGCGGATTCCCAGACGAGGTTTGAACTCGAGTAAACCTCGAATTTCTTACGCAACACTAGATGTAAACAACGAGACTTGAAACTGTTCGAGTATGTGTCAAACTATCTGTCAAGGTCTTAGCAGAAGACAAACTCAAACATGAGTGCTCATAAATAGGTAGATCATTGATTCGCGAGTCTATAAAATGTTGGCTGAGATAAACTTTTTCGAACAAAAAAAAGGGGAATTTTTGAAAGATGAAAATGATCGTTATATTCTTAGACCTCAAAAAATGGTATAAACAACGGCCTGAATTATGAGTGCAGGTGTTATTGTTTTATAAACAATCACTGAGCAGAGTCAACAAAGAGGTATCAAATGGACACCGCAAATCAGACCTTTCCCGCAACCCGAAAAGGTTTCGTCTTGCACCTAGAAACAAAGGAGAGATCAATCGGAAAACGAGGAATAGGATGAGGGACCAATCCGAAATGTGAATAGCAGGGGAAAAACTATAAAAATCGGAACTTCAAGATCAAAGAAGAGTCTCCTCTGGATTAAGCCTACAGTTGTGCTTTATCTATTGTGTTGTGCTATCGCCGATCACTAGGATGCCGCAGCTTCATAACACCGAACATCTGCATCGTCCAGCGATCCTTCTCGTCCGCCTGGGCTATGACCGATTAACCAAACTCTCACCGTTTTGAAGGAACATCGAGATTTGGGAATTGTCTAATATCGATGTAAGCATGAATATGAACAAATAAACAGTTTTTCTCTTGTAAAATACTTGTTCTTCATTTGCCTCCTTCACCACAGCCACATACATGGTTTCCCTTAGGCTCATTCTGACGCGGGATTAATTGTAATCCCTTTTCAGTCGGCAACCTTACACTTTTTTGCTAATGGAATTGAAACTAAAGACATCATTACAATTTTGGTTTACTTGTTTAATTTTTTAAATTCTGTAGTGTAATATTAAATAATATTTGTGTAAAATTTAAAATATAATTATGTAACTTTTAAATCAGATGACAGCAGTAAAATAAATGTGTGTGTAATGTTTTCTAAAAAGTAACTGAATAAACAAAATAGAATTTCAGCATTCTATTGAATGGTCTGACCATCAAAATACCATATAAGAAAACACATTTTCTGAACAAATTGACTTTTAAAAATCAAAATTGTTTTTATCAAATTGTTATCTCTATTTTATATATCAAATAAAATTAATTAACTATGTAATAAAAATAATACAGTAATAAATGTCAAAATAAGCTTGAAAAAATTGAACAGAAAATAATTTAAATATTTTAATTTTAAGCTTAGTTACAGTTACTCACTAGTGAAAAGCTGAAAGAGGAACAATTATTCCAATAGCAATAAAATCCTTTTTGGCAAACTTTTGTTTTGCAAACTGTGATTGTATTTTAACATATTGAACTTTATTGCTACAGAAAAAGATTGCCACTAACAATAAATTTTTTAAGATAAAAAAAAAAAGATTTAAACACAACAACTATGAAGAAGATATTTTCTGATTACATTCTTATAATTATTATAATTAATTTTGAAATTTCTTTTCAGTAAATAAATAGTTGAAGCAAGCATAAGAAACAATTTATTATCAACCATCTTCTTGTTTCAATAACATTTGCTGTGAAATCACAGGTATATGATTGCTCATTTCACTGTTGTACAGTAATTTTGCAAAATGAAAAGGGAATCAAATTGTCTATGCAAAATATCCCTGTGATCAAAAAGTATTGGAAATGGTTCAATAAAACACAAGATTTGAATTTATTCATCTAAATTTATTTTGTCCCCTTTAAAGTGCAATGCATTTATGCCAACATTTTTTTCCATTCCTCAAAACATGTTTCAAAATTGTTTATGTGAAACCCCTTCAGTACTTGCAGCAAATTTTGTTTTATGGCATCAATCGATTCAAAATGGTAATCAAAAAGCAGAAATTTTAATCAAGGAAACAGGAAAAAGTCAATGCCAAATCAGCTTGCAGAACAATATTTGTTGAATTTTTGGCCAAAAATTCATGAACAACTTTTCAGTTAAATACTACTATTAAAAATAAATCAAAAATTTAATTTTTTTTAAAGATACCTGATAAGTCTCCATCCATACTTTGGTTTAAATTAAAATCCAGTTCAGGATTAACAAGATTTTCAAGTCCATTAATGGAATCCTTTTCAAATGAAATATCTTCAGATTGACAACTAACTTGTTTTATAGTTAAATGAATAGCAGCCATTAGTTAGCAATATTTTCATGGTTATTATCCTATATAAAAATAACAATTCAAGAGATAAATTTACATAAACTGTGAT